GCTATAGTACTGGATATTTCTTCCATACTTTATTATATTCAACTCCTGGGTCCCTGATCTGCTTTGAGTGCCCAGTATTAAATTCCAGTAAAGTCTCCCCTTTCTTTTTGTTCAACCACCTTGCTGAGAAACTGCCTTTTTTGGTTTCATGCCATGGAGCAGCCAGGAAAGTGACCTGCTCTATTCTGCCATCCTGGAACCTTCTAGAAAATGCTCTTACTAGGGCATATAAAATAGTCCAAATGATTTGAAAGTTGAGACTTCCTATGATACTAAACCAACAAAAAGAGAGAGAGGTTCCTGTACTGGCTAGGGGGGTTGGTCTAGATTGCTACAGTGATATTGGGTTACTGCTACATAATGGGATCAACAAAGACTATGTTAGAAACCCAGGGGCTTCTCTGAGCTGCCTCGTAAGAACTTTTTCCCCCTTGATACCAGGGATAGAATCCAGRGGCACTTAACCCACTGAGCCACATCCACAGTCCTTTTTATTTTTTTATTTATTTTTTTATTTTTGACAGGGTCTCACTCAACTCTGAGGCTGGCTTTGAACTAGCAATCCTCCCATCTGAGCCTCCCAAGCCTCTGGGATTATAGGCATGCACCACCATACCCAGCAAGACTCTCATTTAATAGTAAAGTTAATAAGCAAGCCAACTCCTAAGAACACAGCCTCTTCAGAATGAAGATTCGGCTACTCCACAAGGTAAGAAACCCTGACAACTGAAGTACAGGCCAGAGCAAAGAAAAATCAAATAGAAGAAGAATTTATAAATACCAAGTAGTCTCATGACCAATTATAGAAAAAAAAAAGTAACAAGGTAACTATCCAGATTTGCTACATTGCTTTTTCTATGTCTTTGTATATAGTAACTATTTTTTTCAACCCCCTGTCCCCTATCACATTATATAAGGAGTGTAGGTGGTTGTTGAATATATTAACAGGTTATAGACTATTCAGGTGGGATTGTGAGTAAACTATAATTAATGCTAATAAAATTAACAGTAATTGGTATAAACTTTGTTTCTCCCTTTTTGAGGGAGAAGGAGAGAATTTCTTCTTTGCACAAAAGAGGAGGCAGGCATGGTGGTGCATGCCTATAATCCCAGAGACTTGGAAGGCTAAGGCAGAAGGATCACAAATTCAAGGTAAGCCTGGGAAATACAGCAAGACCCTGTCTCAAAAAACRCATGTATAATAAAAAGGAACTAAATAATAAAGATAGAAGCACAAACCGTTATTGATAAATAGAAATTTAAATATGTGTAGAAGGGTGTGTAGATGCTTGATAGCTAGAAAGGAGGGTTGTGCTAGTTACTTGCTATGGGTATGGGCTGGTGAGATGAGCTGGGAGCTGGGTTCAAAGGAGCTGGCTGTATAATTAACTAAGAAAATGGCGAAAAAAAAAAACCATTCAGCACACGAACATGAGGTTCTAAGATCGAGGGCAGGATGGCTCTGTGACCTTAATGGTCAGCTCCACACTGGGTGGCCCTGGAAAGGGAGCAAGATAGAGAACACACTGGGAACCCCTGTACCTATTAGGAAAAAGACATTTGATAGACTATTCCACCCAAATAAGGCAAAGGATAGGGTTTTGTAAGGTGGATTCTTGCTTTGTGATGTCTTGTGGTCAGCAGATTGACATCTTGGCAAGTCACACCCATCTCAGGTGCTGTGTGGGATCACAGGCAGAATGAGAAGAAAGGCACATTTACATTGCACAGCCCAATCAATGCACAACACCAAACTAGTCCTTTCATATCATTCAAATGCACATAGCTCACACACACAGTCCATGGTGGCTCGAGACACCCTCCCACCCGCCTTCACACACAAACACATGCACACATCCATCCTCCTACAGCTGTCTTCCTGAAGTTGGGTTTCTAAAARCTATATTTCCCAGACCTTGTTGCTATAGTGGCAATAGGGCTATCATTCCAGATTTCAACAGAGCAGGAGGGGAACCTATTGAGAAGTTTAGCTCTGGTCCAAGCAGCATGTGAGCAAATCTATAACCAGTCAGAATGTTCTTCAGCAGTGCAACAGAGGGCACAGGCCTTAGTGGTTTCTGAACTCTTAAGTGTACCACCCTCTTCTTTCTTCTCTAATCCAGCCCCACCTCCCCATTAGCTCTTCTAGCATCTCTMATCTGTAATCCATGTCTATTTTTAAAAAACTGTTTAAAGTACCTAGATTGGTTTCTGATTTCTTAACTAGATATTAACTGATTAACCATTGTTTGAATGCTTGCATTTTTCAGTCCTAGAATTTTGTTTTGTTCTTTGGTTTTATTCATATATACCATGTAATMTTTAATAATTTCAAGCTGGGTTTATATGTCCTTGAACTTAAGCATAACTCTTTCATGATCTATGTCTGGTGATCCCAGCTTACCAGACCTAGAGTTCCTGCAGGTCTATTTCTATTGCCTGTTGTTTCTGTTGTTTCTCCCTATCTTATTTCTTCATGTATCCAATTACTTCAGTTTGTTGCACAATGAATTTAAAACTAATTCACTGATATAATATGAGGCATCTGATGATGTTTCTTCCTCCAAAGAAGATTCACTGGATTGGAGAGCTGCAGAATTGGGATTCCTTAATCCAATTCAAGGTTTTTGATTTTCTTGACCTCACAAGAGTCCTCAAAACTTGGCTACAGTCTACAGCCWAAGACAAGTGGTTTGTTTACAGTTCACCCTTACTCCTACAGAGTAATCCTTATGGGCTCCCAGCTCTTGGTCTCCCACCTCTTCTCCAGGCCCCAAAGTTTTACTCCCTCAAGCTTCAAGCTGACAAAAATTAACTCCGCTGTAAGCTAAAGAAATAGTTACTATATACAAAGACATAGAAAAAGCTAACTCTTCCAGAATAGCTAATGCATCCCAGGAAAAAATATCCCAAAGTGCTGGGTTTAATTCTCAGATGATTCCTTTCCCTTCACAAATTTGGCTTAACAATTCTTATTACATTCCTGACTTTGATACTTTTAAGAGGTTTTAAATTGTGTGTTTTAAATTTTGTTCTCATTTTTCTTCAATGAGAAGCTGGTCTGCTCTTACCAAAGGAGAAAACCTAATTATCTCTTCATAAGTACTATAAACTGAGAGGACAGCAGCAGAGTTTGAGGCAAAAATATCAATGGAAATAATTAAGATTCTCTTCCTTTGACACTAAAATTAAAAAATACCAAAGAGATTCCTATAATTTTTTGGTATATAACTTTAAATTTTCTTTTAATCAAAGGTCAATTTTAATGTCTATAAACTGAACACTGTCAAAATTTAGTTTTCCATTCTGATATATCTTTATTTGTGACTGATATAAACGTCTAAAAGAGTAAAAACAGCCAATACTTTTTACATAATTTTAGCAGACAGAAATAAAATTAAGTTGGAGAAAGTCATTACTAACATTTGACCTCTTCCAACTCTTTTTTTTAACTTTATGTATTTTTTTCATGTGGTGCTCAAGATGCCTCACACGTGCCAGACAAGTGCTCTACCACTGAGCCACCACCCCACACATGATCCAACTCTTCCAGAGTTAGATTTGAAGATAAAAGTTTGAAGAAGTACCATAAAGCATGGGACAGGAAGTCACTGAAGCAAAGAAGAATCAAGGTAAAATAAAGGACTAGAAATTCTACTGTTATAAAATTCAAATCCCATCTTCTACTATTGCTACTGTTACAGCCTTGTGGTAATAATCTTCAATGTTATTACATTATGATCTGCCTCCATTCATCTCAGTCATATGGTCAATAATCTCAATGCTGTTCTTTTCCTTATTTTAATTTTCACTAAAACTACAATAAATGAAATTAAGGGGTTAAGCCTATCTTCTCAGTTTTGCATACAAGTAGGGTAAATTTACCATATATATAGGTTTTTCTCATGGAACAATCTATATTTGCCAGTTCTCCAAGGGAAAAAAATCACAAACACCTGGAAAGAAGTAAACTGAAAACACCCTCTTATTAATAGAACTCCATAAAATGACTAATAAGTAGACATAATTTGATAACAAAGGTGCCTGAAAAATAAGAAAATCACATTGAACCATCAAGGTCACAGAACTGTACTGTCAAGAAATATCACTCAGCATGCCATAATGTTTTTCTCACTTCTCTCCCCTACTAGTTATGATTTTATGATGACATCACTGTACTTCATAGGTTGTAGCAAGAAGAATTTGCTTGGCCTTTCTTCCATGACTCAGCTTCTTATTTTAGAAGCCCAGGTGGCTTCATGCACACAAATATCCTTTCTCAGATGCAATGCCCTCTTTCCTTTTCATTATATATTTTAATACAAGCTTTTATTTTGTGACTTTCTCCTTAAATCAGAAAAGGTATTTTTATCATGACTTAAAGATATCATTACAAAAAATAGTATCTCCATATAATTTCTTCTATCCAGCAAGCCATGTTCATTTTGTGTGAGTATATTTCCCCATGTAAAACCAGAAATTTTATTTTCCAAATAAGAATTTTAAGTTAAATCAATTCTCTAGGTCCATAGCTAGCAAATACCATGCTATTCTAGGACCCCAAAAGAAAGCAACTGTACATCAGCTGTACATCRGGTTCTATAGAACTTTGGTTTGTATTTTTTTTTTGGGGGGGTGCTGGGGATTGAACTCAGGGGCACTCAGCCACTGAGTCACATCCCCAGCCAAGTTTTGCATTTTATTTAGAGACAGGGTTTCACTGAGTTGCTTACACCTCACCATTGCTGAGGGTGGCTTTGAACTCACAATTCTCCTGCCTTCAAATGCCAAGCCACTGGGATTACAGGCGTGCACCACTGTACCAGCTTTGGTTTGGATTTAAACAATAATTTATACAATTCCACACATAGRAAAAAAATCAGTGTTGTATTTTCTTAACACTCAACGCTTCAGATATAATAAGCTGAATGGAGGAAAACGTGGTCAAATGTTAAAAATATAATCATGAAAAAAATAAACATGAAAACAAATCTCCTTTGTAAAAAATAATTTAATTACAAATTAGCCAGAAAATTGCATAGTTCCAAACAAACTTTCTATATAAAAACAAGGGCTTATTTACCACTACTTTTTTTTTATTTATCTTTCAGTTTACGTTCCATGTATTGAACCGAGCCTTCCTTGGCAAAGAKTAGAATATATGGGTTTTTTTCATGTTTCATATTCCCTAAAACAGAACTGGCTTTTGTTTCTGAAATTACTACAATTTTGCTGTGAAGAGAAASTTTAAAATTTTTCTCTTACAACTATTTCAGTTAGCCACTCCCCAAATTTGATGCAAAAACAACAAAAAACACTTTACTTAAAAGATTCCTGTCGTTCATTTCATTTTACTAGTCCAAGTACAAATTCAGAGAAAATCTTCTTAAGTCCTGCGATTTCAAAATCCTTTTGTAACTCATCCAATGCTGAATACTCTTTGACTTCAAATGCCAGAAACCTGCATTATACAAGAGAAACTCATGAATATGCCTAGATTTGTCAGAGTATAATTATCGATTCAGTTGCTTTTCCATCTGCAATAGTACTAAATTATACCTTTTGTGTTCCGTCTGTACTTTTGTTTCAAACAGTACACTAATCATTTTCTCTTTGCATTTCTTTCCACTTGAGTCCACATCTACTTTGGAGGTTTTCTGAAGAATCAGGTACTCCTAAATGATAAATCAGTATGTTAAATACATATCTTACTCTGAATCTCAAAATCCTAGCTTTAAAGGAGCCATAAACCTGCAGGTTTATTATCATGCTTAAAGAGTACGTTCAGAATCAAGCGGCAAGATAGCTACACGATGTTTTTACACACAGGGTAGAATAATGTTCTGTTGAATGCAGAAGTAAAGAGTAATGTAAACAAACTATTCAAATTTCAATCTAAACTGAACTGTCTACCAGCTCTGACTCTAGGCTGAGTATTTAAATTCTCTGTGCCTCAGTTAACCTCCTCCATAAAATAGGATTAATAACAGAATCTACCTCCTAGGGAAGCTATGACAATTAAATCAGATAACACAAAGTGCTTATAGGAACACCTGGCATATACTTAAGAACACAAGTAACTGCTATTATTACTATTAATCCAGCATCCTAATGGAATATCAGACACACGGCACTTGYCATTCCAAATTGGTGGCATCTATAAACATACCTGCACATTCTCAATTCTGGCAATAAAATTTTAACACAAAAATTCACATAGAATGACATTTTAGAGATAACTAAAAAAATAGTAAAGTAACACTTCTCTGCATTAACAGAGTTCAAGTTGTATGAATAAACACTTGTTAATTAATGATTCAATCTGAGTAACAACATCTGCAAAATAGCTGCATTTATCCTAATATGTCTTAGCTGGCTTAAAGAATAATCAAAGCCTTTTGGGTAAATTTGATCAAGGAACAGATTTGTATTCAATTCTGTCAATTTGTATTTCACCCAAAAGGATCAAAGTTTGTAAATATACTACAAATCACCTCAGAATATGATTTCCTGGTCAGGCCCCAATCCAGGATATATATTAAATTTAAATTATTGTTTTACTTAATATAATCCAGCAGAAATCTAGTTAACTAAATGCCAATGGACTTTTGTGATAACAGCCCATCTTGAAAAAAAGAAGTCATTATTCTGCAAGTCTTTAAGATTACAGGCTGTTCACGCTAAATCTGTTTTAAATAAATTCTACTATAATTACTCCTGACCATTGAAAGTATAAAACTATCTGAAAGTATAAAACTTATTAAGTGATTTGTAGCTCTTTTAAGATTTAAAATATAATAAGCAGTTTTCCTTGTCTGGTTTCTCATAAAACGGGTTAGAGGAGTTTAGAATAAGAACTTTAAAAATCTGAAGATGATGGTTTTGAAAGCAGCTGCTGAGACGAGTCAGGTGGAAAGCAGAAGTGAGGTGGGAGGTGACAGGCTGACAGTCCTAATGATTCTACTTCTACCAACACTAAATCTTGGTTATAAGGGACAAGCCTCTCTTTCCAGGTATTACAGATACAAAATTAAAGTGTCAGAATGTATTTTTAACTGCAAGCAAGTTACAGTTTGCAGAATACCCACAAATATACACCTTGCTGTGCATAACTATGGAAGGAAATATTAATATGCACAAACTTTTAGTGCACATTTATAAAGTTGAGGCTCATGGCTAATTATAAAAACAAACATATGTGCCACAGGAATTTTTTTATAACCTGTCATTTTCATTAAGTGGCATGATTTTTAAAATATAATCTTAACTTATTCTTTTGAGCTCTGCAAGTTTGTAGTTGCCATTAAGAGTTAGACACTCCTAAAAAAAGGAAAATAAAGATCCATTAATGTTGTAATAGAGAAAGCACAAGCATCTTAATGATTAATCTACCCCATTGTTATAAAACACACTTAAAGACACACCATTTGAAACAGAAAATAATCAGATTCATGTTTAACATTTAACTTTTTGGCACCTTGATGTTGTTTCTTTCTCCTTGTAGTAAAATCAGTATTATTTTACCCAAGAACATCAGTCTTCCTGTCAGACTTAAATCTGAAGCCCACTTCTCCACGGTTTTGATATATTTAGTCCTTGCTCTCATGTGATCTAAATGTAAAAGAGTAATCCACAGTCCATCATCCACAGTTGTACTCATTGAAAAAGTACACTTTTCACTGCCATTTCCAGTTTCTGGTTGATTGAGGATATGCCTGAGATTCTGCTGAATCCAAAGAACCAGTTCATGAACCATAGGTTCCRACAAAAGCTTCTCTGCTTGCTCAAGTAGTTTCTCTTGTATAGTCACACACTGGGCTCTGGTCAGATGTTTTGAGTTAATGGAGATACCAGGCAGACACAAAGGGTAACTGACCGGTAAATGGAACACCAACTCTAAGGATATATCTGTATTCAAAAGTCCTTCAGCTTTTGTGTGAATTCTGAAAATGGTTCCATCTGTCTCTGGAAGGCATCCAAAAATAATCATTAGCTGTGCATAACTGAATTTGAATGGAATACTAACAAGTTAAATTTTTGCTTCAAATGTTGATTTATTTCTCATGGGAAAACACTGAGCTATTTTCTTAAGAGACACATAATACTAAGAAAGTCATAATTTGTAGATTTCCTCCAACCACACACATACACTCATGTATTCATGCATACTAGCACTCTGAACTTACCTGAAACTTATACTTACAATCACCCATGTTTAATAAGTTACCAAAAAAGTTTTTTTGTAGTCAGGCCTAATTTATAATTCTGAAAATCACTAATAAACTCATGAACTTTCAAAGAAACAGTACCAAGTATATATAAAATCAGTAATTTAATACAAAGTTATATACTAAATCCACTGAAGATCATTTTGTGGTTGAGTCACCCTGGAATCCTGTATGGTGTCAGGGTTACAGAGAAACCAGTGACTGTGTGTGACACTGTAGCTGCCTGGAACCACTCTTTTCTTATTTCATATGTATTAGAAGCAGAATAACATGAAGGTAGCAAGATGAACTGAAATTGAGTGGGCATCAATTCAACCTCTTCTGGCTCCTGAAGAAGGGAGGGGGTAAGCACACATAGGATATGAGATAAAATATTCCGTTCTCTTTCAGATTTGCTCGGCTTCACCCCTCTGATATGTTGTTCCACACCACTTCACCCCACTTTTCAAAAAGCTGATAAATGTCAGGCTGATTCATTTTGCAGGGGGCAGAAGCGCACAGATCAGAAGAGCAGAGAACAGAACAAGGTGCAAATGAATCTCTTTGAGGGGAACTTGCCTCTGTACCTACTTCTTTGTCCATATACCCTTGTTTTATTCTTCTTCACAAGGGAAACAGTCAAATCTTTCTCATTTTCATACCTGGGTTGCTGCTTAACAGCCTCAACAACTGAAACCTGAATCTATCCCCATTTTAAAGAACCTAACAGAACATTAAAATTGCTTCCTAGCCATCTGATTCCATGTGTATAAAAACTGTTGTTACAGACACTGATTCATATAGGACCAAGTACATCTGTTTCACAGAGTTTTTCTTTAATAGACGTCAGTACCAGCTGCAGAGAACGACTATTTTAGAACATCACCCAGAAACACAGGCAGTAACCATTATAAAGACCATATTCACAATTTAAATTTGTATGACATAAGTAAAATGAGGACTAAAGAAAAAATTTTCCTAAACCTAACAGGGTAAATTCCTCTAAAATCTATCATATTTCTCTAAACTCTTCTTTCTTTCATTGAGTTACTTACTTTTATATGCGTGTGTGTGTGTATATATRCTTTATTTAATCAAGTAGGCTCCCTACACATCAGTTAGATTAATACATTTTAGTATTGGAAATGGATGTTCTAAATAGACCTGCAAAAAACATGACACTTAGGCTGAATAAACTCCAGGAACTATAGGGAGTCCACATTCTCTCTCAATAGGGAGATATAATTTCTGAAGATTTTCATTCATTCATCATTTAACAAAAATTCACTGAGCACCTATCAAGCCCCAGGCACTGTCCTGGTCTCCAAGGAAAAAATGATGGCCAAGACTCAAATCCTATCACATTGACTCAACCTAGTGCTTCAGAATATAAAAGAGTGTACCTATCCAAAGTGACCCTTCTGGACTCCTCTTCTACACCTAAAAAAGTCTCTACTTATAAATACACATATACACCTATAATTTATACACACATCATTGTGTGTGTGTGTGTGTGTGTGTGTGCGCACGCGCACATCAGGAGATAATTCTCCATTGTCTGTCATCTCCAAATGTCTTCTAAGCAAAAGGCATTGCTATCATTGCATAAAAGACAGCCTTGGAAACTAAAGAGTTTCTCCCTCCTGATCAGAAGGCAGATTTGTTTAGTGACCAATACAACAAAGATTATGTAGTCTTTCAGGACAAAGGTTGAACAAAATTGTTAGAAATCCCTTTTAAGATTGGAGGATTTTTTAATTGATTTTTACCTGATAGATAAAAAATAATGAATTGTACATATTTATGGGGTACCATGTGATATTTGTGATTGTTGTACATATTGTGTATGTAATGTTTAAACCAGGGTAAACATCTATCTCCTCAAGAATGGAGACTTCCTAAGCTCAGTGTCCCTCAGCTGTGACAAAGATCCACTGTGTGTACATGTTCACCTGGGCCCACCTCATATGACCCTGGACATGGGGACAAACCTCCATGCCACCTGCTGTGCAGTGAGCAATGCTAACTCCATGTGGGTCATTGCCTCCCTACCAGCTGAACCATGGCAGTGTGCTCCTGACCCAGCTCTACAGATGTTACTGCTTCTTACAAACTGTTTCGCCACTACATAATGTATATTTTTCCCCTCACCACCCCGCTCTCTCATTTTTACTTTTCTCCCTTCCACAGGAAACCTACTATCTCTAAGACATTGTTCCAATCATTGTCACTTCTTATGCTTGAATTTTCTAACCCTCCCTCTGTTTCCTTCCTCCTGCTTACAAAATAGTGATCTTTTCCTTGCTTCACACACAAAAAAAGAAAAAAATTTGATGCTACTAATTCCTTTAATCTACAGACCTTTCTCTGTCCCTTCTTAGTCTTTGTAAAATATAATTCTCACCAATTGCATCCATTTTCCCACAAACCAGTCTTTCTATAACTACTTGCACTATGATTTCCAACATCACTTATCCCTGAAGCTCCATTCCTAAACATTACTGATGCCCTTCTAATTGCTATTGTGCATCAACTGGCCTGAGTTGCTCAAACCCTGTATATTCCTAAGGTCTGTCTTTAAGACTGGCCCATGGCTAGCCCTGAAGCCATGAGCTCCCAGTCCTTGTAATATTACTTCTGCCTGATCAGAGTTCTTTGTATATGCCTGAGGCCTTAGGCCACTTGGTCCCAGTTTGATTAAACGGATTATGCTACTAATGTGATTTATGGTAACTCTTCTTGCTCTAGAGGCTGGAGTGTGAGTAGCTGAAGTCAGTCACACAGGTGCTACATGCCTACATGATTGAGCCCAGTACAAACTATGGACATCAGGGCTCAAGGGAGCTTTTCTGGTTGGCAACATTTGTCATGTATTTCACATTATTACTTTGACAATTTCACATATCTGTGTGATTCCACTGGAAGAGGACACCTGGAAGCTTGCTTCTGGTTTATCTTGGGCTTCATTCCACTCACCTTTTCTCTATGCTGGTTTTGGTCTGTATCTTTTTGCGGTAATAAACTGCAACCCTGAGTGAAACAGTATTTCTGAGTTCTGCAGGTCCTTCTTGCAAATCATGAAATCTGAAGGTGATCTGGGGACCCTGACATAGCTACACTTTATAGCCTTTATTGTACTCTACCCTTCTGCAGGATCTGAACCTCTGTATTGCTCTTCTAAAACTCTGTCTTCCCTTACCTCCCAGATACCTCTACTCATGTCTTCAATGCTTTATCTTCTTTTCCTAAATTCCTAAATGCACAGATATTCTGTAAAGCATAATTCCACAAAACGGTCTTTTTTTCCAGCTATCCAGGCTTGGAATCTTAAATTCACCATTAGCTCTTCTGCCCCGTTCCTTGTTTCATACTTAACATTTAACTGCCAAACTCTCATCACAAGTTCTTCCTAATTTCTCTCTCTCCATTTGCATTACCACCCTCCTACTTCAGGCCTTTCTCTGGTTTCTGCAACACTGGTCTTCTCAACTCCTGCCTCACCCTACACAAAATTACCAGTCTGTACCAGTCTGACAAACAAATTTCAAATTCCTCCGCCCAACACCGAGGGCCAGCCTGCAACTCTAAATTTCTCTCCTCACTTCTTACTTCAACTACCCATTTTATGCAATAATTTGAACACAGTCTCTGGCTTCCCAATCTTTCAAAAAGACCCCTTACTTTGTGGTCTACTAGAATCTTGTCAACCTCCACAGCACCTAACACTCACCATATGAGGTCCATGGTACTTTGAATTTGTCATGGCATTTGGCCCTGATCATTATGGTTGAACCAAATTAACATTTTCACCACCACTAAAATATCTCAGTTTTMTTTTTAAACARTTACTATGGAGGAAAGGTAGTAGTGTGGATTTTTAAATTTTTATAGTTTTTATAGTTACAGTTATATGCTTGGAATTATGTGAGTAGCTTATAATCATGAATCTCACAGGTATAAAATCCTTGGTATCTGTGACAGGCTAAATAACAGACCCAAAGATGTGTGCATTCTATTCTCCAGAACATGTGAATGTGTTACCTTAAAAGTAAAAAGGTCTTTGAAGATGTGATTAAATTAAAGATCCTGAAATGGAGAATTACCATGGATTGTTCACTTATGACCCTAAATGACCACAAGTGTCCTTATAATGGAAAAGTGGAGGAATATTTTATCACGGAAGAAGGCAATGCAAGCACAGAAGCATGATACTATGCAGCAGGATTTGAAGGTGGATGAAGGGGCCATAAGCCAAGGAACACAAAGAACACAGCTCTAAAGCCTGGGAAAGGTAGGGAAACAGATTCCCCGGCAACAATTTGATTTCAGCCCAGTGGAAATGATCTTGGATTCGTGACCAATTAATTTAATTTTAATTAAAAATTTAAATATATAAACTATTTTTGGTTATTTGTTACAGCAGTCATAGAAAATTAACATAATATCTGTGGCCTTCAAGGCAAGCTTTTCCCTYTTGTGAGCAAAATACAAAAGCCCAGAGAATTCTCCAACCCTGCCATATAAATAACCACCTGTCCCTGCACAGTGCATGAACTGACAGTCCCAGACAGCCCAGGGAAACAGGCTTGAAAGGATATTGAGCCAACCATGTAAATCCTTACCAGTTTTCATTTTTCTGTTATTTTCTGGTCCTAGTCAGCAAAGATAATGGCAATGGGGGAAAAACCCTGACTTCATACAAATTATGGAACTATTATTTATAATGCATATGTTCAGAAGAAAAACAATTTTAATTCCTGTAGGAGTTGGAAAATTTTAACATTCTTCCAAATTGGTCTCCTTGGTTAATCTCCCCCCCACATACACACAGTAGCTGCAAAGTTAACCACACAAAATGATGTTATCTCTATAAGAAAATGAAAATCCCAATAACACATTTCATTCTGCTTATATTTAATGTGGTAATAAAATTATATAATCTTTTAAAAACTCATTTTCTCCTAAAAATCCTAGAATTATATATCTTACCCTTTCATTTCTCATCTGCCTTTGTTTATAAAAGCAACTAAATATGCTCATTTTTCTCCTGAATTTTTCACATATCACATGCACTGTAGTCTTAATTTTTAAAAAATGTTTACTAATAAAAGAAAACAAGGTTGTCCCCTATTCGCTTTAAGATTATTAAAAGTTTAGGAACTGCTAAACACTCTTGGTTAACAGAAAACTAATTGTGCTCTACATCTAATGTTAATCTCTTCCCCTCCCTGGTTCCCAAAACTCATTATAACTCACAAATATTGTTCTCAATATACCCTACAGAACTTATGCTTGCCCTACCAAACTAATTTTCACAGGTTCAAAGGTTATTTTCATCCATTCTCAAAACTCTACCCAAAGATATAGGTCTTTCCTTCTGGTTAAAGTTCATATAAATATTTGCTAGTTGTTTTTTATAAGTCACTGTCTTATAATAAATGTATCAACTTTATAACTAAAATACAAACCGAAATATGTTTTAAACTTTAACCTTCTTTACAAATACATGAAAGAMATTATGCTCCAAACCAGAGAATTCCAAGCTAGAGAAACAGAACTGAACCCTAATTCCACACTAAAGCTATTTTTAAGGTTTCTCTCTGCTTCATAGGTGTATAACACACAGCAGAAACTCAATGAATATAGTCTAATCACAGAAGACACTTAAGAAAACAAGTTCTTTAGATTCACTTATAGCCCATTAAGAAATCATTTACATATCATATGTAGCTGATATTTCCTATACTTGCTGTTGTTATGTTGTTGTTTGTTGTTGTTGTTTGCAATTTTTATATTACATCAGAGTAAGACTTTGTGTAGAAAACCACTAAGAACTCTCCAGCACCTTCTCATTTCATGTGACAAGTTTTTCTTTCCTCTTACTACCAGGCAGCTAATTACAAGTAGGCATACATAAATGACTGTCTTATGCTTCTGCTGGATTTCACATATGCTTAAAATATGGTTACAAGAGACTAAAAAACTAAAAAGAAATGAAGGTAAAAGGGGCATCCCATTCTTTAGAAGTGAAGTTCAAGGCTGAATTTTGCTTTTACAGAGTGAGTTCAGTTCCGACAATCAGCAGGAAACAACTGAACAATTCTGAGAGGGGTCAGTGAGTGACAGTCATGATTCATTTTGCAAGACAGTTGAATCCAATTTGAACATTACCATTAACAAAATATAAAAATACACTCTGAAGCTACTGTGCAAATATTGGGTTTATACACTTTCCATTTTACAACTTTATGATCTGTGAGATGGCTTTCAAAAATGCAACTCCTATATGTAATGAGCACTGACTATAGCAATATAATCTATGTGAACCCATCAGGAAAACGAAGATATATAACAATGCCACTTACCTATTTCAGGTGCCTGCACACATGTATGCACACATACTCCCCTTCCTCACTGTTCTGAACATAGGTTGGATCCCATCCATGCCTTTTCTCTGGGTGCTTATKTGTGCCCTCTCTTTCTGAACAAGTGTTTCTTTGCTTCCTTAGAACAGTTTTCCTGACACAGCAGCCCCATCTCTACCAGGGATCATGAGGCCATGTGAAGGTTTATACATTGTGAAGCCTGGTGGTTATTTAACCACTCTAAGCATAGTTCTCTTCTCTGCAAATAAGGCTAAGAGTGCTTCTCATCAAGTAAGATGCACTGAAAGTATCAGAACGATAGTAGGTGGCCACATTAAACATGGCATCTGGCTATCTACACGGCACAGAGAGGGATAGAATCTCTCTGATTTGGCCTACTCTTATCCCTCTCCCATAGCTAGGAGTGTGGAGTTGTTAGAACTCCTGCCTCCTTACTATGGGCTTATATAACCACTGTAGAGGCAAAAATGTAGATAGATCCTCTAAATTCTTAGCATAAATTAACCTAGCTATACAGAATCCAATTATTCAGCCTCTTCAACCTTAAGCCTCAACAGCTGACCCCCTACAATGCTCTCCTGACCCCACTGGCAACAGTTTATTTGTAGGAGGCCATGAATTGATGGGATTCAGACTGTTACATCCTCCAACCCAAACTGACAAGTAGCACTGACAGCAGAGCCTGCTGCATGTTTATTGTAGTCTGTTAAAGAAGTACTTACCTTACCCTTAACTCCCAGTTATGAGCATCCAACATTCCTATTTCAACCACTGAATTGTTCTACCCTCCAATGAACCTTTCAGCAACAAAATGTCCTAAGTTGTTACACTGAATTCTTTTATAATTCAATTACTTATTGATGCCAGAACACTGAATTAAATTAATTAGGAGGCATGGCTTCAAAGTCATGCTCAATTTAACAGCAGATAAAGGGTCCACAGTGTTCTCACTATTAGGAAACTGCTTGCTTTCTTTCAGCATTTACTTTTGGGGGTTTTTCTCTGGCCTGCCAGCAGTGTTTAATGCTCAATGGATTCATACTGCAGACCACTACCACATATTTAAGGTATGATGGGACATCACAGGTTCATTTTAAAGATATTCCCACCTGAACCATAATAAAGGAATTTGGAATAACTAATGATCTCTTCAAATAGCTGCCTCAGGCAGGAGTAATTATTAATAGAGGGAGATGAAGAATTAGAAATGCCACTCAATCAGAAGAGGGGTGACAAGACAACATTACAAGGGAATAAATCCATTCATATATGGATTTTAAAGAGTTGCTTCAAAAAGATATAAGACAGATTTAGGAACTAAAAAGAAGGCAGCTCTATGGTTTCATACTATCTGGAATATAACAATGCTCCATGATTGTGTTCAGATGGGCAGATGCAAGAAGGAATAAATAAAAGGGAGCAAACTTCCTCCCTGTGGATGAATAACACATCCCAGAAAAATGTAAAAACGATCTTAACCCTAGATTTCTCATATACTTGAGAAAACATATTTTACCTGCTTAAAGGTCAACCAATTTATGGTCAGGAAATCAATTTCAACATTAGAAGGATAGATCCTATGCACCTAAAACGGTACATATTTTAAAGTTAAATAAAAATTGACAATTATCTGCATCACCATACTTTCTCTGAAATGGCAGGGTTTTTTGTGGTCTTTTTTTTGTTTGTTTATTTTGTTTTGTTTTTCTTACTTAATAGAAGCTAAGTCAGAAATGGAATGAGTTTTGCTCTTATTAAAAAAAAAAAAAACAGTAGGGCTGGGACTGCAGCTCAGTGGCAGAGTGCTTGCCTAGCATGTGTGAGGCACTAGGTTGGATTCCCAGCACCACATAAACATAAATAAAATAAAGGCATTCTGTCCATYTACAACTACAAACATATATATATTTAGGATTTTTAAAAAAAGATTTGCAGACTGTAAACTCCTATGGGACAGAATGGTGCCCTGTTGATGTCTGCAAGGAGCAGGGAAATAAATGTGGGCTGAATGATTAAGGCACCCCCAAAAGCCTGTAACTAGCAACCACTTTCAGCTGACTAGAAAAAGTAYGCGAAAAGCAACCAATTCAGAAATATAAGAATAAGGTTACAGGGGCTGGGATGGTGGCTCAGTGGTACAGTGCTCCCCTGACATGTGTGAGGCACTGGGTTCGATCCTCAGCACCACATAAATGTAAAATAAAGATATTATGTCCACCTAAAACTAAAAAATAAATATTAAAAAATAATAATAAGGTTAGGGCTTAGCACTGGGGTAATTCAAAAGTCATTCAACAAACATTTGTTGACTATCTACCCTATGTTGGGTAATGTTCTAGCTGCTCTGAGGTTCAAGCTTACCAGACAGGGTCTCTGCTCTTGTTCAATTTATGACAACCAAATACCGATCTAGTGTTAAGCTGTGGTGAGTGAGGTCAAGGGTATAATGCATAGGATTTATGAAGGAAATGGATTAAGGGAAATGAGGGAACTGGATTGGGGGGGGGGGGGGCAGCACAGGTGTCTAAGAGGACGAGGACACGTGGACGGCCTGCCAGGAAGAGCGTGGGCAGCGCCCTCCAGGGAGGCCCCAGCTGGCGGACGTCAGGAGGTCTGGAAGCCCAGCGTGGGGGACAGGACGCACGGGGGCGCCCGCAGCGGCGCGCCTCAAGGCTACGCCACACCATTCACGTTTTGGGGGGAGGTCGCCTCACACGCCAGCCTGCTCCCACACAACCGCAGTCGCCGGGTGCGTGTCACTCCATCCTTCCGATAACCCGGTTCCCAACTGAGGACCCGGGCGGGGTGCCCAGACCCCCGAGGGGGAAGGACAGGGCTGCGGCCCCAGTCGGAGGGCGCTCATCCCTCGGGCGCGGGGGTAGTCACCTGAGCGGCTCAGCACCTCCCACTCGTGGGGCCCGCAGTAAATCGCGGCCAGGGCCAGGAGCTCCTCCCGCACAGGATCCGCCATGTTCATGCGGCCTGCGAACTCGGTACCTCCCCTTCCGCCAACGCGGACTCGGGTGGGGAGCTACGCGGCCGCGCGGCCACCTGGGGGCGCCCCGCCTCCGCAGCCGGCCGGGGAAGCTCCGCCCACAAGCCTCGGCCCCAGGACTCCCCAGGGCGGCTCGCCTCTGCTTTGGGGAGTTTTTCGGCGGCCAAGGGCCGGCTTCAGGGTTTCTGCCAGAGATGACTGCCCAGCCCACTTGATGCTTTCCTGGCCCTGGCCGACGAGCCCCAGGTCCTCTAGCTTTAGCCTCAGGCTCTGAACACACCGGCTCTCTCATTGAGCTGCTGAGATTGGGATGCACAGTGTCAAACATAACTTTGTAAAAAGAGAAAGAAAACAAACTGGCAAGAAAAGGTTAGCCCTTTGCACTAAGTGTCTGGCTCTTGAACCGTTTCAAAGATCCCGCAGTGAACAAAATACATGAAATTCTACATTCTCCTGGAACTCTTAGTGACCCAGGCAGTCTGGAAATCCCGGGAAAGGGCCAAGTTAGTGACAACCTCCAGGATGCCCAAATGACACTGGCAGTGAGACTCTGGACAAGGCCCAGTTCCTGGGACCTCTTTTGCTTAAAGGGTGCAGAAGGGGCGAATGGAACCTCCCCGCCCGGCACTTTATGGGGAATTATGCCCAAAGTTCTGGGAGCACAGTCGTAGTGTTTTCCTTTTGTCTTCTACCTTCAGAGAACAGTCCTGCTGAAAGGTCAATGGGACTCCTTGGCCTTCAGAGGGATGATCCAAGCGTGTAAACACTAGCAAATGCTAGCTTTTCAGTGGTATTATTTTGCAAATAAAACAATATGGATATTACCAATGCGACTCCTGGAGCTTAAAGATGAAATGGTCGTCCTTGTGTCCTGTATCTGAATTTTAAAATTTGAGCAATACCATTAGCATAGCTGAAATAACAGTACATTCTTTTTAAACTTTGATTTTAATGAACCAGGTTATAAGGCTCTTCTGTAGTAGTCCTGTCTCCGTGCATTTGTCTTATATTTTTGTGTTTTTTGTTTTTTGTTTTTGTTGTTGTTGTTGTTTTTTCAAGTAACTGTTTAAGATTTTGCAGCCCCTCAAAACAGCTGGACTTGCTCAAAGAGGGCCCACGACTTTTGTTTGTATCAGAAATAACATTTTATGAAATAAATGGGAACCTAGGTGACTGCATAGCCACTACTGCAGCTACTATTGACCTACAGAAGTCAACATAAATTTGCTTTACTCTAAGACTCAGAATCGATATTTCCATCATCATCATTATCGTCATCATCATCATCATCATCATCTCCATCTTTGCTAAAAAAGGGATTTGAAAAAATAAAGATAGAGATTTTCAAGAACAGGAAGGAAATCTAACAAAATGGACTGCAAAGGGAAATGTTTTTCAGAGGATGTCATGGGATTTCAGTGACCCCACTTAATTAGGAGCCCTGCTGCGCACATAATTGGAAAGACAAAGGTTTATTTAAACTCATAATTATCTCTGATGTGGCCAATTTGTTTTAAAGAAAGAAAGAAGTAAAGACTCCTTTGAGTTATTTCCAAAGTAGCAGTAGGTTCATAATTAGCTGCTAAAGAGGTTGGTGAACAAAAGAATAAATTTCTAGTTTAAAATATCACTGAGTTATTTGATTTTAGCTTGAAGTTCATTGTTACTATTAAAAGTGGCAGGAAAATATTAATTTAATTATTTGACTTATATATTAAAGATAAGCTACAAAATAATTGAGTGGTTCTTATTTTTAATTTTACAAATTCAACATAATTGATATGAGTGGAATACTATGAGCAGCATGATTTCAGCTGTCAGAAGTATTTGAAGGCAGTTGCTGAAGCCTCTTGTCAGCAGGGGGTCCATGGAAATTGATGTTAAGAGTACAGCAATCTATTACTGTATTTAAAATTTTCTAGTCAATAGGTTTCCTCTTTGCTCTTCCTTTCTCCGTTGATTTCTTAACCTGCTTTTCATACTTCATTTAGCATGTTTAAATAAAAAAGAAGTCAATGTGAATGTCTTTTAAACTGACACTATCCTAAGGCACTGAAGTCCCATGAATAAGTTTCTGTACTTGACATTTAGAAGTAATCATCACAGAGACAGCATAATGTCAGTTTGATATTTCTCACACTATGAAAATATCAGCTACATGTCAAATCTCTAAGTCTACCTTAATGTAATAATTTTTCTTGTATTCACAGGCTACTGAAAATTCTAAACATTTAAATGTGGAATGAATGTCTGCACTTAGCATTATCTATCCCTGTCTGTATTTGTGTTACACACACATACACACACACACACACACACACACACACACACACACAAACACAGTGTATGATTTGCTAGAATAATATTATTTTTTCATGCAATTTTTCTAAATAGTCATTTCCCCAGAACCATCACGGGAAGGAATTTAAAACTTCTCACTACCGGCTGAAACCACTAACCCAAGAGGTAGTATTGTAACTATTTTGGGACCACAGTTTTATTCACTCTCTCCTGAATAGTATAGACTTTAACACTCCACTCAAAGTCTAACATATTAAGTCCAAGCCCACTTGGATATAGAAATGAGGATACATGATTTTAAGAGTATCAAAGAGATTAAGTATTAGTATCATGTGGAAGAAGCTTAGGACCCTAAATGGAGTAGGCTATGGTAAGGAAAATTTTCATACCAGAAAAGTAAAAATATGAGAACTACTAAAAATAGAATACAAAAGAGACATTAAATGCCTACTTCCTAAATACACCTGAACTCTGAGAAACTGTGCTACCAGTTTTTACTAGTTCTGTCTAAATGATTCCAGTATTTACTCATTTTACAAAGTGTTCTTGGGCACTCAATGACTGTTGACCTAGTTCTGTGAGCTGRGTGTTGAGATAAAGAGATGAAAGCAACAAATTATTTCGTTCGAGGACTTTAATCTTTCATCTGGATTAAAAAAAATGCAGCAATTACAAGTTCTTTTACCAAGTTTAGGGCACAAGAACTGCCAATTTATCAGTGTGAAGTTCAATGTCATGATGTAAGTGAAAGCAGTGGGATGAGGAACAGCATGTTCTCCCATACTTCCTAAAGGAGATATAATTTTGTAATATTCCAGAACAATTTCCAAAAATAAACAAAGACAGCATTGCTAATTGGTGTTAGTTCTTTTGTAATAGAGTATACAAGTTGCAAATTTATTTTTCACCATGATGTCAAAGTAAAAGCAAATTAATGCCGTAAGAATTTGACACTGACTACTGTGATCATACCATTTTGTGGAAGAATCTGCCTCTACTATATCTAAGTAATCTGCACTTGCTCCAAAGTATTATTTGCTTTCTTCCCGTGTTTGATTCTTACACATGAGGAGTATCAAAACGGTCCTAACTGGTTTTGTAGGGAGTCATACACGTGACCAAGGTCCACGTTTCGTTGCTTATAAAACAAAGTCTTATCATTCATGTTTTAGAGTTTGTCTAGTTAAAATAATGCCCAATACTTAATTTTGGTTACTACAGTAAGTGGATTCATTTTATTAATTATATTTTCCTACTGAATATTACTAATGTACTAATGTTATTAATCTGAGGTAGAGTTGAGGATTTTTTTTTAAACTAAGGATTGAACACAAGGACACTTAACTACTGAGTCACATCCTCAGCCCCTTTTTGTTTTTTGTTTTGAGACAGAGTCTTGTTAAGTTGCTCAGAGCCTCACTAAATTGTGGAAGCTGGCCTCAAACTTACAATCCTCCTGTCTCAATCTCCCAARCTGCTGGGATTACAGGCAGGATTGAGTGACTTTTTAAAGATCCTTTACTCCAAATCATAAAGGGCCTATAAATGAGTAGGCACTGCCCTTTTAGCAAGATATATTCTCAGTGGTTGAAAATGGAGACACATATATATTTCAAAGAACTACAGMTATAGTTAGAAATTTAAAAAAAAATAATTTCCTAAAAAGAGGAAAAGATAATAGTAGGAGGAGGGAAGAAGATAGGAAGGAGAAAAAAAAGAAAGGAAAGGATGAAGAAAAGAGGGAAGGGTGAAAAGAATGGGGAATATTAGAAAAAGGATGATCTCTGAGGCAAAGGAAATCACGAGTTAGGAGTTAGGAATTTGTTATCAGATCTAGAAGAAATAAAGAGGATGGAGTCACCTGATGCTCAAACAAAAGAGGTCTGGGCAGCGAAGAAAACAAGAGCTTGAAGAAAAAGCCTACAAAATGAGAGAAAATCTTCATTGGTTGTTCCTCCCAACAGGGGATTAATATATGTGAGAGTGTGTGTGTGTGTGTGTGTGTGTGTGTGTGTGTGTGTGTGTATCGTTTTAGTGAACTTTTTCACCACGGCTACTAAAAAACCCGACCAGTGTAATTATAGAGGAGGAAAAGTTTATTTGGGAGCTCACAGTTTCAAACTTTCAATCCATAGATAGCAGATTCCATTCCTTAAGGCTCAAGGTGAGGCTGAACATTATGGCAGAAGAGTATGGCAGAGGGAAGCAGCTCACCTGATGATCAGAAAACAGAGAGAGAGAATTCACTCACCAGTGAAGTATATATATATATATCACTTGATGGAATTAATTGAGTGGTGAGGTGTGGCTGGAGAAGGTGAAGCATTGGGGATATATATATATAGATAGATAGATAGATAGATAGATAGATAGATAAATTCACTAATTTGGCTAAGGTTTTCATAACCCAATTATCTATCTCCCTTCTGAACCCTCTCACATTGTCTCACACTTGAGCTTTTGGACAATTTCTCCACATCCTAACCATAGCATGCATATATATACATGTTGGAATATATAAAGAACTCGAAAAACACATAACACCAAAAAAATCAATAAATTGACAAAACAACTAAACAGACATTTGTCAAAAGAAGAAATACAAATGGACAACAAATATATGAAAAACATGATACATGATCAGCCAAATTATATTGTTAGATTGTGTACATGTACAAATATGTAATAACAAATCCCACCATAATATACAAGTAT